TCAGTATGTGCACAGGGTCTACGACATAAAACAGAGGCCGATTGTTGTCGGCTGGATGAGGATATACAATGCTTACTTTCTGTATCTCTGAGAAAAACGACATCATTTTCCGGTTGAGGGAATTGTTGTCGGTAATTACAGCAATGACCCTGAGGCCCATAGATTCCACTTCTAAAATTACTTTCTTGCAGAACTCATGTAGAATTTCGGCGGTCATTTTAGCAACAGGAAGAATGTGAAGCACATCTTTGTTTGATGACAAGAGCGACTGAAGCATGAAAACATGAGCGGTTGTGGCTGCCTCTTGAGAATTGGCTGCAGATCCAACTATGCTGCCCCCTTTATAATCGAAGTATGGCTTGATATGAATTTCATCAACCATTAGCGTCACCGTCTTTTCGTGCGGCTGCATGCACTTCACTCTTTCTCGAATGTAGGAGAGAAAGTTCGCTTCGTTTTGCTCCTTCAGTGGATCGCCTTCATACTTGGAACAAACGCGGCGCAGGGTTGAAGGATAGGATAAAGTCAACGTCGACGCTGATCTGGCAAAGTTATAGGCGTGCGGAGATATGGAGCGCAGGATGCTAGAAAACAATAATGTTTCAGCACTGTAGCGACGAATGGGGGCAGCGAGTGTGAGAGCTATTTGCTCATTTAGCAAACGAAACAAAGCCCTGTGTTCTTCGGTCAGGTGACTGTCTTGGGACAGTTCGTTCAATAAGGAGCCGATATGCTGCAACACTGACGCTGTTTTCAACGGACTTGCAACTTCAGGCGTCTCAGTCATGTGGTTTTCCAGCTGCTGGAGCAGTGAGGACAACGTCCGGATGTCGCGCACTGCGTCTGGAACTGCGCCTACGCAAGGTAATGAAACCAGCTTGATCATACCTCCTGAGCCTGCAAGTGAGAGATCAGCAAGCACAGTGACGGAAAACCTCACGTGCGGTGAAGGATTATCTTCGATGCGGAGAAACATCACACAACGATCGTTGGCCTTGATGGTCCAGAAATCATTACTGCATACAGCAGAAAGCTTGCCTCTTAAGTGTTCGAAAGAGGACACAGCATTTCTCTCCTCTTCACTTTTTTTGCGCATATAGAGTCCTTAATCGCTTTGCTCAAGGCCTCGTCTTCCATTCGAGCTCGTTTCGAGACAGGAGATTCTCGACGATTGCGATTCGTGCTCAGGTAGGACGGACAGTTCGGAAACACCGATGGTATAGCATCTGACACTAGACGCACCCTCTCGCTGTCGACTGTCAATGTCCGTCCCGACGCTGCGTGGAAATGTGACAGCTTTGTGATGAAGTCAGCCTCGAGGAAGTGGAGTTCACAGACCTGCGCCAAGTATAACGGTGACTTCATTACTTTCATACGAAACGAGCTAATGGGAACTTTGACACGAACCTGAGTATTTCTGTTCTATTTTACCGCACTGCCCTACCTGAAGCGCGACAAAACTACCATCACCACTCACGATACTCGCTCTGTTCAACAGTAACAGAGCCAGAACGCCAGTAATGCGATAGAGCCGGTAAGACAACAATCTTCAGCAGTTTCTCACCTTGGAGTGTATGCTTGGTGTGAAATGCTTTCGCGGAATGGCTTTTATCCAAGACTTCTTCCGAGCTTCATCCTTGGGGAATGCGAAAACACGCACTTTGGGACCACTGTCATAATTGCCGCGGCACCCGGGAACACAACAACGTCCCATGTCGCACAGATTAATGTGTAATCACATACTCACAAATACAACACCAGTAAAATAGGACACGTGGGAACGGACGGAGACTCAGAGCAGTGCGATGCAGCACCAAGCCTAACGCAGCTATTAGCAAAGCAGGTAGCGATGAAAGGCAAACCTGTCGTGGCTTGTCCGCCGTTCGGGGTAAAAAAGTGCGCGGGGTGACCAACACCACCACCTGAGCAACGCATCCTCGGCCACTGGACAGTCGGTGATATGCCCGGGGAGGGGTTGAGGCTGCCACCCAGGATCCGGCGAAGGACCACTCTTGCGACGCGTCTCACGAACAAGTAGAAGATGCGTTTAATTTACATATTTGCAAGAGAAGTACATTGCAACGAGAGCGTACAGACGCGCCTTTCCATGACAAGGGCCCAAAGCGCACTCGAGACGAGCGAACAGCGAAGTCCAGAGAGAGAGCACAGCGCACTCCCGACACACTCCTTTTATAGCCGTCCATGCACGCGCTAGACGCCGACTGTGTGTCCCAGCAACACTGATGTGCATTTCCTGCGGCGCACACAGACGCCTCCCACGTTCCTGCAGGACGCGGACAGCGTTTGACCGTTACGCCGATGAGCGTCCCTTGCAAGTCACCTCCTTGCTGTGCCGGTCATAACATCGGACAACTAGCGTGACGTATGCCGTCTGGAGAGAGGGGTATGAACGGGTCTTGCGAATAGTCTAGGTGGTGTTGGCTCATCGCGCTAAAACGAGACGCTCGCTGTGCGAAGTTGCCTTTCCACAAATGAAGAAGCGGCCTCACGGAAGCGTCGGCGAGGTCCGACGCTTCCGTGAGGCCGCATTGTTGTGGCAGCCCACTGTGCTATGGGCTGCCACAACAATGCAGAAAATACCAAGGGACGCTCTCCACGTGTTATGCTGGATCAATTTTTCATCTAGTCACAGCCGGCGAATACAACCGCGTTCGTGAAAGATAGAGCAAGCATGACACGAGAGCCGGGGAAAAAAAATGGCAGCATATCCACGGGGTGAATGATGGAGAGTGGGGCGAAGCATCCGTCCGTCTGTGTGACCATGCGTGCGTCCATCTGCCCATCCGTGCGTGCATCTGTGCGTCCGCACGTCTATTCGTGCGTCCGTTCCTTCGTTCGTCCATGCGTCCATCCGTCCGTGCAGCCAACCGTGCGTCCGATGCATCTGTCTGTGTGTCCATTCGTCCATCTAGCCAACACTCCAAGTACCACCATCTCGCATCTTTTCATCATATATTCCGCATATAGAAGCACCGTCATCCAGCGGACATTCCAAGGACTAAACGAGAGGTGGCACAAGCACACTTTCTTACGGCTTGCACTTCGTGTCTACTTCCCACCTTTAACCACCTCGAGTTCATGGTATATACTAGTTCACTGTATTCATGGCACGCTAAACCTTTCTAAAACCAACGAGGTTACGCCCAGCGAGTATAACCTAGCAACCCTTTCTTGTCAGATATTGCTCAATGCGCATGCCAATGGCTGATAGTTGGGAATAAGAGACAGGAGAATTCGGCTTTTAGTTAACGCGCACGCTGCGAATTTATTGTTCAATAACGCACAGGAGAACTCTTCCACCGGCAGCACCTTGCAGGTCAAAGCGTAAGACTGGTTACGCACGACTACGACGAGGGACGAACGGGTGCCGCTTTAAGGAGCTTCGCACTTCATTTTGACTCGCTGTAGTTAAACTTAGCTTTCTGCTTCGCGGCGACGTCAGCGGATCATGCGCGGCACGGAGGACATGACTCTAATACTTCTCGGCCATTTCAATGCCATGACTGTATAACTTTGGTTTTTATTTATTTCAGCACGCCGCAAACGTTTGCACATGACAGTACACGGCTGCTACTGCTAGATACCACATCAGAACAACAATTAAATGGTTTCCATAAACGTCAACACAGCACATCGACAGAGTACGCGGCTTCATGACGGCAGAATGAGACCTCGAGGCATGCGTCGTACAGAGCATTATCACGGAGGACTCGAAAAATGCGTTTTTCAGTGGCTCGGGCGTCCTCGTCTTCCGTCGTCTGCTCCACACTAGGCACATCTCTAATTAACCTGGCTTGACAAGGCCGCGTCGGCAAATGATGGCAATTTCGTTTCTATAGATGGCGAACCACAGACGGCTGACACAGCTCTGACTCAGAGCTGTGCCAGGAACAAGATGCACATGTTTTCATGCACCAGCGTGGCTATTGCCGGTGACACACTCCAAGTGCGACTTAGGCGCAATTTCCGTTGATACTATCAGAATGGCGCAGTAAATCCGATTTGGCGAAGGAGTGGAATCATTGGTTATGCTAAAGAGGTCATGCAGACGTGTTTCAATAAAGCCGTGATGCTTACACATGCCCCCATACTTGATAAAGAATTCAGAGAACACAGCACTTTATACTAGCTGTTTAACCAATATGCACAAATTGTATTGCTAATGGCAAGAGGACTTTGTCTAGCTGTCATAAAGTGGAATATCGCTGATATGAACTTAGTAGGAACTAGACAATTAAACATATCATACAAAAATAAGAAGATATGCAAACTTAAAGGCAAGAGTGTTAGTGGCATTAAATGAGAATTTAATAATTTAATGCCACCAAAATGTACCAAAATGTGCTATGTGAAAAAGTGTCACTTAGCTCTCTAGAAACTTCAGCCGAAGAACTTCTATTCAGCAATGTTGAAATAGCTTGTCAGTGTGAGCTGAACTTTCTTATCTTGCATGACTGTAAAAATGTACCTCTGGAAGTCATAGCAGTGGATGTTCCCTCACTCAAATTAAAATATGTCTTAGTGACTGAGTCCCAAGCTACTTCTGCAGCCGTATTATGTAACTTTCAGTAAAAACGTGAGCATATTAGCTGAACAAAAACACATTGCTACTATGGGATATAGGCTGAAAAATTAACATAACAGAGTCGAGGGCCATAGAGTACAAACCATGCCGGCGAAAACATTTCTGTGAATGACCCCCTCCCCACTCTCATAAACTGCAATGCAGAATAATGCGTGGCCAAGACAAAAGTAAAGGCCATTTCGCACTTTTTAAGAAATAAACGAAGACTGGGTTTGTCTAATGTCCCCACAAGTACACTTGGAGCAACATAGAAGTAGAGTATGCGTCATTGGCACTTTCAGATGAATGTCACGAAGCTGCAAGTGTCACAGCATACAGGCATGCTATACCGTTGATCATGCCTTCGTGGAACAGCACAATGCAGGGTGTTTTATTCAATCAGGAAGAGTGAAACTGATGGTCATTCACCAACGTTTTATTACAATTGTATGAAGCAAGCACCACAATTCTGAAAGGAGTAAGAGTGGATGAACTGCTTAAGAGAGGGGCGCACGAGCACAATATGTGCGAGCTGCAGTGCATGCTTCGATGAGAAGAAAATTTTCTAATGAACAATCAACCGACGCATCTTCCGTGGATGAGATACATAAGCCGACTGCGCGGTACCAATAGTGTATAACTGTGCAGGGAGCATGGACAGAAAAGTGATATGAATAGTTCCTCTTCCTGTGCGGAAATAAGGCTGTCAATGGCATTTTGATTTTCCATTTGCCCTCATAGGTGGCAGTGTCAAAGAATATTGTGATTAGTAGTAAAGTTTAGGGTAAATATATGATGTTTAAAACTGAGTGTGGCTTTTTGTAGACTAAAGTGACAAGCTGTACCGTGAGATTGTGCATGTAAAGGATATGCACTACTAAAGCTTTTACAACAGAAAATCCCAGAAAATAAAACTTATACCCTTGTCACACGAGAAAGTATAATATCATTTTAGTCTAATGGCATTCGACACATCCAATGACATTACGAGACGTGTGCTGCTACACAGGAAGATATAATGTCATTTGTAAATGATGGCAATCGCGATGTCGCTAAGAGGGGACTGAACAAAAAACAGTCGCAGCGTAAGAAATTTATTACGTATACTAAAGGTTATAAAGAATGTTTACAGATGGATGAAATTGAGGATGAAAGGTTAATATGCAGTTTTTTAAATATCCAAAGAAAAGCTCGTAGCTCATATGAAGTCGAGGTGAGACTGGAGCCATTATCGCTCTTGGGGTCACGTGGTAAACGTTCAATATGGCTGACAAGCCGGAGTGTGAGGAAGCCGCTGCAACTTCTCGCGCCGATCGGATAAGAAGCGTAAACTTTCGCATTTTGTTTGGTGCGTCTCAGCTCTTCTAAGTGATACTCCCATAATCTTATCAGAGTGAACGTTTCAGCTTCTGTCTAAGGGACCTTTTTTTTCAACGCAGGCTGCGTGCCACTATCCATCTACGTTGACGACATGGGAGACATGGGTTCCGCAAGTCAGCTGTGAGCTACCCTACAGCTCTGAGGCTAGTGTAAACACTGAGCACATGGCTGACATGACCAACATGGCCGGCAACACTTATGAGACTGTCGCTGTGACCGGGAATATTCAAATTTTTTTCTAACGGCTCAGTTGAATTGCATGCAAATAAACTGAATAATACTTAAAAATAAAACCATATTAATACTTGTTATGATTTATTAACCCTATCATATATAATCTGTTCACGACCCTCTTCCGGCGAGAGTACATCTTTGCGACGAAAACTCATTCAAATGAGTTCGACTAGCTCATTCGTTTTCTGAAGTCATTTTCTTTCAATGACATTAGATGTCCCCGTGTGACAGCCAACTAATGTCATTAAATGTAAATGTCATTGGGTGCAAATTACATTAAACTTTCTCGTGTGACAGAGGTATTAATCTCTTTGCTGTCTAATGAATAAGTGATGACACACAAACATGAATTACCTGAGCTAAGCAGAGAGAAATTCATATTGATCTTTCAAAGGAAAAATAAATAAAGCAAAATTTCAAGCAGTTTTGTGCAGCAGGCAAGCTGTCCTGTAATAGTGGGCTTGCAAGTGTGTTAAAGTTCGCGGGACGCAAAATCCTTTAAAACAAAGGTGAAACCCCTTGCTGGATAAAACCAGAACACTACAACCGCGATATGCATACACCTAGGGCCACATGAACCATACAGCCATTAATCCATGATTATTCTTGAATTTACCGATGCGAGCTCAGTCAGCAAACATAGAATGGTCCAGCTTTTCCCATTACTTCTGCACTTCGAAGGGTCCCCATGATCAGCTGCATCTCCAGGGTAAGTATAATACCTTATGTTTAAGAAACCTGAAAATTCCCAAGCTATTTCTCAGAAAACCGAGACAACACGCACCAACTTATTTCTCACAGAGTGAGGAAAACACAGTCACAGACCTGACAAACAAACAGTCCCACAAATGAGTCAAGTGATAAAATAAATACATACATGAAAAAATAAAATGGTGCCAGACCATCGTCACTGCTTTCAATAGTCAAAATGCAGAAAAATGTAGTGGGACACAACTACTGAATCTGCAAGTACATAGACAGAGCAATTATTTGCATTATTTATGAGAATGATTTTGCTGTTGATTGCAGTGCAAAGACTATTAAATACACATACAGAAATAGAATGCATTTGATTGTGCACAGCTAGCGCTATATGTGCTACAACTTTCAGTGGAGAGCTATAAAAGAGCTTCTGACATCACAAAAATATTTAACAGTTATAGAAACACTGTTACAAGCAGCAGAAGCCCTTTCTTGATATAAAAGGCCAAACAGCGACACAAGTCGACAAGAATACAGCCTCGTGTTCCTGTTTTCTAGAAATACAAGGTGACATATGCGTCAATGATTATACAATGCTCTTGCTATTTATGCAAACTAGATTAACTTTTTAAACATGAAACATGGTGCGATGGGCATTACCTGAGAGACAAATTCACTACATGAAACTAGAACAAGAATATGTTGCTCACAGCGCATGATTTATTTTCAATGCGCAATGCTTCAAAACCTGGTTGGGCTACAGTGGTTGGCCGATACATTCCAACTGCGCTTTGACAAGGAACTCTTGACGCCCTGAACATGGTGACAAGATTCAGCTAGCTCAGATATCCTCAATACGCTGGCAAAATAAAGTACGAAAAAAATAAAGCAGTAAAATAAAAACGCCACACAGTCATCATTTCCAAAGATTGACATTTAGATATACACATCAGTAGATTGTATATAGTGAAAAAAAAAAAAAAATTCTCTCCTTGTGGTGCTGACTGCATAGCCCCTGCAAACTTCCAGTGAACCACTACAAATATATGATGAAACAACAAAATACTCTTTGAACACTGTTGCTAACAGGACAATGTACACAGAAGCTTATCTGTGCTATTGTTCTCTCTAAAAGAATTGCTAGGTAGCCACAAACACTGCGTCCTCCGACCTTCTCCAAAATGTCACCTTTTCATTAACTTCAGCCAATAGCGGCAACAGTAAGTACACTACGAGCAATCAGCGACCCCGGGTACATACTGCTTCTCTACAACTACCCCACAGAAACAAATTTATTAGAATATTCAATCTTCAAGAGACCTATAATATTTTTCTCACTGCTCTAAAATAGAGTTCCTATAAACACACCTCAAGAATAAATCTTTTCTCAAGTACGTATCACACGTGCGCCTGGCTTGGCAAAGCTCTACAGGTTCACATACATACCTAAGTACCTTTAAATATCCGTTTTGTTCGCCGTGGTTTTTCCCAGGAAGCACCCATCATAGGTAGTTCAGGTAAGACCCTTTGCAACGGTTCATAGCTCGCAGATTTACAACAGTAGACCCAACGAAAGAAAGAAAAGTATATACGAATTTGTAGGTGGTGTATTTTTTTCTTGATTTTGTTTTTTAAATAGAGCTGTTAGCTGAAGCTACCTAGCAGGAGGAAGTTGATATTAAAATGTAGATCACAATGTGGCGTTTCCTGCTTGTACACTCGTCGAAAACTACTACATGGATAATATGTTGCATGTGTTCGAACGACTACTGGCAGTGCACTCCACTCTTTTTTTTTTATATAACTGAAGGTATGAACTGTCTAAATCCCATATATATATTCGATGTGACAAGTTTTTGAAGGCCCAAAGATTAAATTAGCATACTTTTACTTGCTTCGACGCACAAGGCTCAAAGAACTGCGAGGTGCATCAAGAAGTCAAGATAGACCACCGTGCGCCTTTCGACCAACTTCTATACCAATCACACTTGCGTTCAGCCAGGAGCAATATGCGCACAAAATTTTTTCATAGGCAGACTTCATCAGACCAATTATTACTACACAGCACCAGCAAATTTGCTTGGTGTCACCATAATGGCAGACTGTGAGAACTGCAATTCTGGGAGAAATTTAAATCTTTAAAAGAAGATCGCAGTGCTTCCCGACGGTCAATCGTGTTAAGGTAATGACCTGAATGCTACTACCGTCTTTCAGCACTACATCTACAATTACACAGGGTGTAAGCAGTGTTACATGTTATTTTAGCACTAAGTGGAAGGGATTCCACAGTTGCCGGCATGATGAAAAAGAGGTGTATTCATAAGTTACGTGGGGTGCGAGAATGCGGCAGGATGATGTTGACAGCACAATATTTAGAAACAGCACAAAAGGGAGCCCCGAGGGACCACTCCTGAGGTAATTGACCATAACACTGCATCAACCTCTGCTGTAAAGCAGCCACACCTTTGTAACACAACATGTCACGTGCGTCGCTGATGTAAAACTTTTGCCGGAGTCTTCTTCAGTCTCACCGAATCACGTATCTCGGGACAGACTAGATAATACCATGCAAATAAACTACAGTGACCAACGTTTTTCTGCAAATTGATTGTGTCAGATATGAACTCTATCGCGCAGCACACACAAATTTTTCAAAGAATATTCAGGCAGTTGTCACCTATGATTATTAAAAGTAAGGTACATCACACATTATTGCTGAAAAAAAATCTGTAGCGAAGGCAGATGAGAATTTTTCATGCTGGTATTATCACTGACCTAACTTTCACTAATAAATTTGATAAGTTAGTGACAACAGGAACATATTTTTTAGCATGCAGTAGCCAAAAAGATTGTTAGCCAGCACTCAGAGCATAATTGGAAACTGCTGCCTACAATGGTTTCAAGACACAAGTGCTCAAAATCTGTCCCAAGATATACTACTGTTCCACTGATGCATTTGCTGGCCGATTCTGCAAATTGGAGCTGCATTGAAAGTGTTTATGAAGCACTGACCAACTATTCTGCAATACTGACATATTCATTCCCCGAACTATAAAAAAAAAAGGTAAGAACAAAATGCAATATTTTAATAACTGGTTGGGCAGTTCTCACTTGCGAAAAATAAAGTCGACCTCAGCTATGAAACTATTTTATTATAGATCTCCTATCATTATAGATCTCAGATGCTAATTACAGAAACATGGGGTAAAGTTTTGACATCTGACATCATTTGACACCCAAAAGGAGCTTAGAACCGAGGTTGCATTAACACTGTGGTAGAAACACCGTAGCACTAGCTCAAGTGCTAAACTGTAAACGTTTAATTAAAAACTTTGCGATAACACTATTGTGGGAGAGGGGGGGACAAAGAGAGTATAGAGCACTTTTTTTAAATTTGCCCTGAGCCACACATCACTTCTGAAACATGTGCTTTATTAACAATTTAAACTTAGATGGTGGTATCTACTCAGCAGTAAACATGGAACACCTAAGACTGAGAACCAACTCATTGCTTTTAAACTACAGCAATTTATTAGCAACTTGAGTGCTGATAATTCTGCTCACTACAGAAGCCTGCCTGAAGAAGCTAGCTTACAGTATATAGCCCTCCAATGTTCTTTCACCCAAAAAAACCATTAAAGGGTACATAATTGGAGGCCAATAAGAAACGTTTTCAAAACACAATGTTTCATAAAACATGGGGAATAGCTCGAAGACCTCATACGTGCCCAAATTTGTTAAATTTCATGAAAAATTCAGGAGAAGTGGCAGCTGCGCATTACAAGGTTGCACAGCTATATTCCATTGATACAAACTAAGACGACTGCTTTGACAATAAAGAGCATGAGCAATTGTTTTTCTCCACTGACAAGCGTAAAAATGCACTTGTGAAATACAGATGTCAAGAAGGAACAATTTCTTTATTAAATGATGAATCTTTAAATAGCACCCAACTTCTAATAATAATATGAATGACAGGAGCATCTGCATGCGTCAAACAACAAGTGACAGTCAATGAAGATGTCGTGGTGTGTGTACTTTCACACTATGCAAACGAAATTCTCTTTAACTTTGCCGTTCACTTTTGAACGCTACGCAGAACAATTTATCGCAAAGCTATAGTGCATATCTTAGAGAAAGTTCAACATTATTTCTGAAACAATATACTACTCTCGATATTGTTACTTCTCGGCACGAGGCTTCCATGCAGTGCATGGCACGCAACAATGCTAGAAACAGTTCGTAATACAACTTCCTGTCAACTCGCATCACAATAAAAAGTAAAAATGCCTGAAATAAGAGCAAAAAGCGGGGCACCATTCTGTTGCTGCACCACCAAGTGTGAGCTTTTCCAGATCTAACGTCTTCAGTAACATAGGCCCCATAATGAGCCACGTGACGCAATATTTTCTGTATTTACCAACTTGGTGAGAAGCCAGAGCAGCATAATCGACTGATTGCTTCTAAGAATTCGATTACTTTTATTAGATACTATCTCAATACTTGGCACCAGAATCGTCACTACATGGCCATCGGCATTTCTGGCAAGTTAAATTACAGTTGATGTCGTGCGGAAGGAACTTGCCCTTAGATGTGCAACAATTTTGAGAATGCGAGATGCATCCGTTGTGGAGTTGCTGCGTTACGCAGGATCTTTAAAAGGGGAACTTCGTAAGTGATCACTCTAGAGTACCATTTCAGTGCTCAACGGTGAACATTCAGCAAATGCTTGGCTGGTTGAAATGATGTGAAAGTTGACTGCCAGGTTTCATTTTGGAGTCCTGGCATATGCAGACAACAAAAATTAAATTTGAGACGACAAATGTTTCAAATTTGTACACCTCCGCAACCAACTAGAGGAGACTGACCGTCTAGAGGGGTTATAAATAACCCCTCTAGACGGTTATAAGGTTATAAAAGTGACACTGTCGGCATGACTGACTTCGAATGGTGAAGCCTGGCTCTGGTATTTAAAATAAATTTTTGGTAGGTGCCACACCAAGTTGCTCGATTTCTACTTCAAGGCCCAATGCACAAATACAGATTGCTGCCAAGTTTGAAGCATATCAAAGGACTGCTCCTGCCAGCCGTGGAGGGTCCTTAGGAAACTTGCATATAAATAGAGAGGACAAGGAGCAGTAGCTTCTTTGGCTTCAGTGGCAGGGAGTGGCAGGCTGGAATAGGAACACTCGCCTATCACAAGGCAGCCACTGCTGAATTCGTGCTTCGTGAATGCCTTCGGAGTTGCAATGGCAGTGCCTTTCACAATAACCGCAGGCCTCCGGTGACCTGATCGACCAGGTCCATCCGCCCCATTATTCCTAGAACCGTTGTCGATCCCTCGGGAACCTGGAGAGAGCAATGATGAAAGTTAACACAACAAAACCTCATTCAAAAAAACAAAAGAAAAGGAAGAAGAAAGAAAGAAAAGAAATCATAACAATCTACAGTTAACTGTTAGATCTCATTAATATTGTCTCTGACAAAGAAAACAAGCCCTTTAATGTACACTTCTTTCCTTCATCCAGTGAGGGTCTCATTCTAGCAGACGTGGTGCCTTTAGGCAGTATACGAGAGATTATTGGTCGGCTGCAAGCTCGTAATAAGTCGATGTGCTACGTGAAGCCAAACAGGCAGATAAAGAGTGTTCTACACTCGCCGCCATGGCTACTGACGGCGCTAACTGATGCTCCCACGTTTAATGCACATATATACCCTATAAAGTAGACTGGGGGATAGCCACAGTGATAGATCAGTTGGCAGAGCATTGGACGCATTATTCGAAGGTTGTAGGTTCTGTCCTTGCCCACGGAAAGTTATCTTTTCGTGCACTTTTCTTTCTTCTCATTCACAATACAATTACTTTCAATAACATCCTCTATACTTTTCTTGGCATGGTTCTTATATCTCAATAATATTGTTTCTAACAAAGAAGACGAGCCTTTAAATGTACACTTCTTTCCTGGCTTCAACCCAAGTGTGAATAAAGAGCACTTTAACCCTTTCAGCATCAATGACGTAAAGCTGCGGCCACGCCTGTGTAGAGCGCTCGAACAGCCCGTTTTTGCTGAGTTGGCCGAAACCTTGAGGCAGTTTCGGGCTCTGAAGTGGTGTATCAGGAGCATGCACAGCCTAGTTGTCAAGGCTGACCACGTCAGAGCCTGATACTGCCCCAATGTTTCGCCCTGCAGAGCAAAAACGGGCTGTTCGCGTGCTATACACAAACATAGCGGTGGCTGTACATGTAAGTCATCGCTTGTACGTTCAAAAAGCACACTTTTTTCGATCATTTCACTTACTTGGCACGCGCTGCACATTATATGTGTACATGAAAAAAAATTTCTTCTTGTGCCGATGGCTCTCTGCTTTACTTTTTTTTTTTATGCTTTACTAATAAAGCATAAAAGCATGGTCTAAGATATCTCAAAGAAAGACCATCTTGCCATTCTTTTGTTTATTTCTCACCAGAGTGCATTTACAGCTGCTTTTGTGCATTCACTGACTGACGCGAATGGTGCCACTGTGGTTGCATTTCCTGTTTCGGGGACTTGGAAAAACCACTTACATCTTGTAGGTGATAAGATGAAAGATTATTATAGGCCTGACTTACTTTTGCTTTCCAGATGCATGAAACTATTCAGTTTCATGCATCTGCAGTTTCATGCATTTCAGAAGTGCGCACCAGTTTCCCGGCTGCAAATGAGTTTGGCGAGGGTGCTCCTGAATCGTCATATAAGTGAATAATCAGAATCTGATTTGTTAGATGCCAGCCCATCATGCTAGAAGTTCCTAGTTCCGACTCAAATGTTGATGGGCGAGCGACATCTCGAAAGCATACGTAGGGATACAATGCTGACTTGATCGAAGGTGAGTTTTCTTCCTCTGTGCTTCCCTTTCCACATCTTCTGCCTTCTTCAGCATGACTCTCTTCTTGAATGTGTCTTCAACATGCTCCGCGATGACTTTCTTCACGGAAGGCGGGGAGCGATAACACTTCTTGACGAATTGGCACTGCTTGCCTAGTAGAGATTCGATGTTGTGTGCAAGATGGTGGCCGCATATCAGTTAATTTTTCATCTTGGGCAGAGTCAAACACTGTCTGTGAGCACCTCGTGCAGTACACACGTTTAGTAAAAGGAAGTGACTTGTTGGCCGCGTGCTGAGTGCTGGCAGAATGATGAGGGCAAGAATCGGAGTGGGATTTCTTTATACCTGTTGATAATTTAATTGAACGTACGGTAGGGTATATGGGTGGTGCCGAAACGTTGACGGTCCACAAGTAAGCACAATCACTAATGGCAAGCACGAGGCAGTGAGGCACAATAATGTTTCCCTTGAGTGCTTACGAAAATCCAATTAAACTGAAACAAAGCAAGAACCGGTACGAGGACGTTTAAAGTTTTACACATGCAAATATTGTAGTCTGCGGGGCTGAACAGTCTTGTGACCCTTGAAACATGTTTAAGCTACCATTACTGGTATGTATCTTATCAGGAAGTGGTCAAGGTGTTGGGAAGAAAAATTGCACCCCTACCACAATACAGAGTGGCACAGCAGCACGCAAGAAAACAATAAGTAGAATAATGTCTCGAGTTGAATATGAAAGCAGAGTTAATTCAACTATAAACCTTTGATTTTACGTGGCAATTAGAACAGAGCAAGCATCAACTGGACGAAACATTCCTCCTGCAACACCGTCAAAGGTGGTGTTCCAACGTCAAGCAAACACAAATTTGGTCCCAAGGCAATTTTTAAAACACAGGCTCAATATAGAAACTACAGCACAAGTATCTACTAAGGCAACAGTACTCACATTGTCTACACAAATACCTTATTCTTTACCACCCGGACAATAGGGGTGTGAGGAAGACGATTCTGTGGTCTTGCCCCACATCGGTCGCACCCCTTTGTTTCCCAGCTGCAGTCAACACTGAACGATAGCACGGTGACGAGAGTCACTGCTGTCATGCTGGCCGTGGTGTAGCGCTGCTTTCAGAGAAAGGGGAGTCTGCGTGTGCTACGTGTTACTGTTGAAAGGAACTCTGAAATGACCGGGAGTTAGTCAGCGGGTGCACAGGGCATGTACACGTTGAATTGCGAAGCTTGCGGCTGGTGGCAGAAGCAGTACCTAACAAAGTGTCCATGCAGTTCACAATGGTAGCAGCTATCTCATTGTAGCAATTGTAGCAGCTATATCAGGAAGCACTCACTAGTTGGTAGAGGACAGCAGATGGTGCCTGAGGAGCAAATTTCCGTGGTGCAACTTGCCTTACATTCCTGGTTTTCGAGTGGCTGCTCGCTCCTTCTTTCACGCTGCTCGGTGTAAGATGTGCGAGGCTGAGAGTAACTTTGACATGATTGAGATACCAGTTATTCGTGGGCGCGTTTGGTCAAACGTACATTGATGACATGCGTTTACTGTGTCCACAATTTGCAGCTAGGCAAGCTCTTCTAACCACTCGTCTTATAACAGAGGAAAGGTTGTCTTGTGACGAGATAGAAACACTTGCAATTGTGGTCACATTATTAAGATGCCCAGACTTCACGGGAATTCTCGCTGCACTTCAAACAAAAAGCATTCTTCAGATCAGAGGGAGCGTTGAGGTCTTCATTTGTGGTAGGAAAATTGGACACGTCTTCCACGATTCCTTCTAGGAAACGGCCCACCTTGCCTTCATCAGACATGTTTGTCCTCACGATTGCATGAAATTTCAAAACAGCCTCAATGTAGATGATACATGTTTCACCAGGTAACTGAGCTCTGCACAAAAGTGTCCGCTCAGCTTGCCTTATCTCAGCTGTCAAGTGCTCCAACACTTTTTCAGTTCGTCCACGAAAATTTTCTATGTTTTCATTACACTGCTACGGCTGTCGAACCAGGGATCAGCAGTTCCAGCTAGAAAAAAAAAACATCACTTCTCGAGATGCCTAATAGCGCTCCAGTGGTTGCCAGTGACTCACTCTTACATAGTACTCAACGAAGTGCTGAAAATCCTCATCTGGCTTCGTCGAAATGTTCTTTTGCTGATGCTCCAGAATCCCATGGTCAGCTTGCCTCGCAGGGTGAGACTGTTGCTCACCATTAGCGAGGTTGTTATCGCCTTTTCCAGTGTCATCCATGTCTGCGGGCTGCGGTGACAAGCCAGCCAAGCGTCTGCTTCGTCGCAAAACCGGTGAAGCTGGGTCGACCCGAGCAATGTACGCTGATCCTTCACGAGGCCGAGGCTGTTATGAAGGAATGGATTTATTTACAGATGAGATGACGACATGGAACCAGGAGCAGAGTAATAGTGGCAAAGACAAGTCGAGTTCACCCAACCACACAGAATATAAGCATTGGCTCCACTACCCTTGCTCTTCTTCGTAATTTTGCACACTTATGTTAAGGGGTGTGATGTGTGTGTGAGTTGGACGTGCACATGCATGCACTACGACTGTGTCTTCTCAGCTAAATTTCACAGGTGCTACATCACTTCTTTTTTATGTTAATCGGAACAAGCAGGACTGCAAACACTTATGAAAAAAAGTGAAAATCTGTTCAGGTACATACCTGTACTGCACATTGTAATTAGCACAATCAATAAAGTAAAAGGCTGCCATCCTATAAAAGCCCTTATTGAACAGAGTATTACTTTATTCGAACACTAGAACAGTTAGAAACTATATTTACTCGCTTCAATGACGCTGTGTCGTAATGATTGATTGATATGTGGGGTTTAACGTCCCAAAACCACTATATGATTATGAGAGACGCCGTAGTGGAGGGCTCCGGAAATTTAGACCACCTGGGGTTCTTTAAGACGCTGTGTCGTAGAATGGGATAATAGCCCTAGCCGTAGAAAACTTAACGCACTATGCAGGAATTGACTTCTTTCAACAGTGATGCCCCCGTAGCTCCCCCCCCCCCTTTGAGAACGAAAGATTAACATCTAGAATTATCACTGCACTGATTCTACAGTAATGTACAGCACTAGAAGGCAAAAACCACATAAACACCCGATGCACATAAGCAGGCACCAATGTGTGCACGCTCAACATTGTTGCAGTCGGCCGGATAGACGGTGTCTCGCTGCCGGATAGTGTGGCTGAGAACAAGAGTTGAACCATTTATTTAGCCGTAGAGGTAATCGGCTACCCCTATTGGGTCTATTTCGCTGAACCTTTCCCGTCTTCTTAAGATGTACCCAACAAATAGAAATATAGTAGACCACTTGAAACAACCTGGCGCACATAAACTAAAGATTTCCATTGATCTATTAGTTATACTAAGTGCCTGCTGTATTCTTTTTTTCTCTGAAAGGCTACAAAATGACATTTTGGTGCAGGCTCAGCACACGCTACAAGATTTT